TAACTACAACACCAAGAAACTAGAAATAGAAAAAAAAAGTTTTCAGTCTAAGCGACAAGAAAATTCTAATTTGGGGGCCAGGGGGAAGAATAGTTTCATACCATTCATTCGCCAGATTTTAACTTGGCGATCATCAGCACCAGAGACAATCAAAGGGAGAGTGGGATGGAATGAAGCCCAGTTCACTCCTCGATCATGACCCTCTAGGACATACTTTACAACTGCATCGACACCACCGAAGAAATCGGTGTTCATCTGACTCAATCTGAGGATGTCATCAGCAGGGGACACTGTTTTCTTCCTCAGGGCACCAATATCCCACACTCGAACGGTCTGATCCAAAGAAGCAGACACAACTAAGTCCTCCTTGGGATGGAATGAGGCACACATCACATAGTGGTTGTGCCCAGTCAAGACAGAGATACAAGTTCGAGACTGCCAGTTCCATATTCTGATTGTTTGATCATCACTTGCACTAACAATCCATGGATACTCGTGTGAAATTGAACAGTACGAATGTAATCAAGATGCCCAAGCAGGGTAAACAAACACCTATGCAGCTTGTAATTCCAAACCTTGATCTTATAATCATCTCCTGAAAAAAAAAAAAGGTTCTGTATCATGATTCCTGACAATGGGAAAACAACATGGAAGGGAGGATAACCTCCTTTACTGAGGAGGATATCAAGCTTCACCCTCATCAAGTTTCCACAACAGAAAAAGTTCATTAGCTCAAAGGCCTGCTGAAAACCAAAAGCAGATGTTCAATATGTATTGGAGCTTGGGGATTTGGATCCACCTCTTTTGGAAAGTCCAACAGTAGAACCAGAATAGCACAACAGATCCAATCTTTGCTTTCTAAACTGTCCCACCAGATGACCACTAACCCAAAAGGAAAAAATCACTTATTTACAAGGGAAAACAACAAATTGCAACCAACATATGTCAATCCCCTAATGCTGATGCATAGGGTTGAATACTTTAACAATGAGAGACAAACAACTCATTCAATCCAGCTCCCTAATCCAAATTTTTACAAGTCCAAATAAACAAACTGAAATCATGTAAAAAGTGGCACACATCGCAACTATCCCATCAGATCGCTACTAATTAGAAAGGAAATAATATAGCTTATTCACAACAGAAAACAACAAAATGCAACCGACATATCCAATTCCCCTAATGCTGATGCACACAGTTGAAATCATAATCCATTAAAATTGAAAGACAACCCACATTTAAATCCATCTCCCTAATCTACATTAGTACAAGGCTAAATAAACAAACTGCAATCACGTAACGAATAGAACAAATCAAACATTTACCGCTCAAAAACAAAAACTCCCGAATCATAAATCGTAAATTCCAAACTAAGTAAGAGCTGATTCGTCAATTAGATCCAAGTACAAACTAAAATTAACCAAACATAGATCATATTTCGATCCCCAAATACTCAATTAAAATACAAATGGGAATAAAACCAATACCTCGGAGACAAAGAGAGGTTGAGATTTATGGAAATGGACGCCACGCACGGGGCCATCGTGCTCGTCAAACCGATCGATGAGAGTGCCCATACGATAGTCCCATAGCTGGATCACACCACTATAAGACTGGCCAAGATCCATGGTCGCTTGCTATGAAAGCTCAACCCCTTCACTCGATTACTCTTGGTTTCGAACTTGGTTAACATTTTCTCTTCACCTTAATTGCCCCAAAACTAACTCCTGGAAGGGGGAAAGCAGTGAGATCAGTGAAAATTTGCTGCGAAATTCGGGTGGGAAACCCTAATTGGATTTAGAAGTGAAGGAGATCTGATTGATTTAATGGGTCAGATCTGAAACGAATTGAATTGCTGAGGCTTTAAAATTGGGGATCAGATTTATTTATATCGGGTGGGGGTACTGGGGAGTGTGGAGCATAGCGTAGAAAGGAGAAAAGATTGCTAATTTGCTATTTGTCTAGTGACGAGGCTTTGAGAGACTTTTACGAGTAAAAAGCTTCAGGAGGCCTAAACTATTGTCATTGTCTATTTTGACCCTTTATCTATATCTTATTTTTAATTGGCCCTTAAATAATTAAAACAGCACACTTTAAGAACTTTCGATGACTTTAAATAAAAATTGGGAATTAAAGAATATTTTTGTTCATTTAAAATTGAAGCTTCGAGACTAGCATCAAAAATCCCTAAAAAGAGATAACTCTTTAATTTTTTTAAGCATACCATTAGATTTTTCTTCACAAATTTTATGAAAAAATCGAGTTTTAACCATAAGATTTGTTGGTCTCGATGCTTCAACTATGAATGGACAAAGCTGCCCTTTAAATCTGGCCAGATTTAAGTCTAAAGTGATTGAAAGCTTTAAAGTATGCAATTTTAATTATTTAAGGGTCAATCAAAAATAAAATTTAGATAAAGGATCAAAAGTAGACAACTACAATAGTTTAGGGGCTCACTTACCCAACTTTTATTAAGCACAAGCGCTTAGTCGCTACAGCTGCGGCCTACTCTGGATCTAATGTTCCTGGCTATCAATTGCGGGTGTTAAATTTGGGTTGTGTTGTGGGTCTTGGGCCAAGTTTTTTTTCACTGCTATCTATTTTTGGTTTTCACTTTTCTCTTTTGCAAATATTGCACATTTCAATAAAAGATTATTCAAAGTTTTCATTTTAGTTTTCAGAATAGCTTCTTCTACCTATATAGTAAAAGCACGAATGAGTTTTGGCAAAAGAGTGTTGTCTGCTGATGTGTCAAGCTGTCATTGGTTAAAATGTGGTCGTCCTCCTCATGCCAAAATCACGTGCCCAGCTAGAGAAATATTGGAGGGTTTTCTTTCTTTCTGACGTATTCTGCCGAGGATGGGATTGGCGCATGGCTCGATGCATCACAATTTAGAAGGGTTCATCGCTATTCTCCTCTCTCTTAAGACTATCTCTCTCTTTTCTTCTTCATTTTCCTCAACACTCCCAAAGCCCCAAAGCCCTAAAGCCCTTCTATCTCTCTTATTCTCCATGGCTGGCAACATCAGGAGATTCAGGACCAAAACAGATGGTTGGTATTTTTTTCTTTCCCTCCCTGATTTTCTCTAGCCTTCTATTTTTCTTTTTAGGTTTAGTTGCCTGATCTAATCTAATTCGTATTTATCTACCTATATAGTAAAAGCACGAATGAGTTTTGGCAAAAGAGTGGTTGTCTGCTGATGTGTCAAGCTGTCATTGGTTAAAATGTGGTCGTCCTCCTCATGCCAAAATCACGTGCCCAGCTAGAGAAATATTGGAGGGTTTTCTTTCTTTCTGACGTATTCTGCCGAGGATGGGATTGGCGCATGGCTCGATGCATCACAATTTAGAAGGGTTCATCGCTATTCTCCTCTCTCTTAAGACTATCTCTCTCTTTTCTTCTTCATTTTCCTCAACACTCCCAAAGCCCCAAAGCCCTAAAGCCCTTCTATCTCTCTTATTCTCCATGGCCGGCAACATCAGGAGATTCAGGACCAAAACAGATGGTTGGTATTTTTTTCTTTCCCTCCCTGATTTTCTCTAGCCTTCTATTTTTCTTTTTAGGTTTAGTTGCCTGATCTAATCTAATTCGTATTTATTTGTGATATTGCAGGTGACAATTTTGGAATCTCTTCCAACATTCTTGTGAGACTCTGTAAGATTTTTTCCCTTTTTTTAAAACTATGTTCTAAAACACGTGGTTGGTTTTGCTCTTTTTCCCCCCTTTCTTTTGCCTGGTATTCTTTTTTCTCTTGCTATATTTGTATCTCAATTTTGGATTTAACAAATTTGAGAAATTTTTTTTGGAAACTTTTCCGATCCAATGCCGTTATAAGAAATTTTTCCTGGTTTCTTTTTTTTCCTAATTTATGTTTTTTTTAATATTTCAAGTCAAAAGTTTGGGAAAATTTCTCAATTCTTTTTCGAAATACTCTAGGTTATGTAGTGAAGCATTATGTTCCAGCCTTTTGTATGTAATAGTAAGTGAATATATATATACTTTTTGGGTAGGTTATAGTAAATGAATATTTGACTGTATCTATTTCATTGCCATTTGTACCCTAAACATCATCTTGCATTTTTTTCCCTTGCAGAAGAGGTTATCTTCGATTTTGTCAGATTACAGGTTTTTTGCTCTCTCTTTTTGTAAAAATTTTTTTATTTTCCCTTGAATTGTTGATTTATTTATGCTTATAACCTATTAGGTGTAAGTTTCGATATTGGTTATCATGGATTAGTTGGCCTTCAAAAGATTAGGTTGTGGCATGTTTCCTAAACGTTTGAAACATCAAAGTTGATATAATGTTACTAGAATTTGTAGTCATTTGAGTATTTTATGGATGTCTAGCTTTTTGTGTCTTTTGTATACAGGATTTCTTGTTTTCTTCCCTTTTTTTTTGATTCTAAATTTCTGTAATAATGCAATGATATTTATATGAAATCAAGTGTTTGACAAAATGCCAAAACTATTAATTTGTTTGTAGTAGGTAAAACTGGAAAGCAAGAAAGTTTACATGGACCTAAAATCAGAATTTTGTATGGATCTTATTGAGTTTGTTGATTCCATAGAATATCTCCATTTCTGCATGAGACAAAATATGAACTAGATTATTGTTGACTCCGCCGTGTTTCTATGCAACACAGCTGATGCTTAGCAATTTCTAGGTAGACATGACGAAACCAAAAAATTGAACATAGGCAGACCAAAGCTTCATAGTAACGTTTTAAATAGAGAGCATATTTCTAAGTTGTTTTCTCATTTGGTTTTCTAATTCAATTTCTCAATTAAAAGAAGATTTTCCTTTTTCTTTATATGTTTGTCTCTCAGGAAAGTATTTTTGTGTTGCCAATTTTTGGTTTATTTGATTTTGTGTTTTTATTTTATTGTCTTTGCAGGATGAAAGATAACAATACCTATCTTTCATTCTCTTCTATTCTCTAGAGGTATATTCTTTTAAAGTTTTTTAAGTCTTACTTTTTTCTACCTATTTAGTAAAAGCATGAATGAATTTGTTAAGATGAATGGTGATTGTGTTGATGTGGCTGTGTTTTATTGGTTGGAGGATGGTCGTCACTCACAAGGACTGCACGTGCTTAAGTTGGGAGGAGAAATAGCTGCTCATTGTTGAGTCTCCTTTCTCACCTTTCTCTTGATTGTTCTACCAGTCTCCTCATCCTTTTTCCAGAACCCCCTATTCCTTTTGTCTCATCCGAGAGTATGATTGACCTCCTCCATTCCTTCCATGGATTTCCTCCATTTTTTTCTCTGAAAAAAAAAGAAAAAAGACTAATAGCACACCGCTTCTATTCTCTCTTTTTTCTTCATTTTCCCCCTCTTTTAAAGATTATTCGAAAAAATGACACCCAAAACCCACCTTTTATTCTCTCTTTTTTTTTTTTTTTCTCTTTCTTATCCTGAGATAGGAGAACCTCGAAGATTGGTCGCAAACTGGTGTAAATGTAATGTCACACATCTGATTTATCTGCTTCTCTTATGCATAATGTATAGACTAGCTTTGTTATTTCAGTTACAAGATTATGGGTCACATTTGCTCTTTGAACCTAATCTTGGTATTCTGTATATTTAGTTCAGTTTTACTCTATTTTATAATCAACAGAAATCCAGAGTACCTTGAATAACATCAAATTATAGTGCTGGTGTAAATGTAATGTCACGCATTTGATTCATCTGCTTCTCTTATGCATAATGTATAAACTAGCTTTGTTATTTCAATTACAATATTATTGGTCACATTTGCTATCTTTGAACCTAATCTTGGTATTCCGTATATTTAGTTCAGTTTTACTTTGTTTTATAATCAACAGAAATCCACTGTACCTTGAATAACATCAAATTATACTCTCCCTGTTCCATTTGTGTTTAGGTTCATTATTATGAGGACGAGTCTGCTCCAACGGGTACTTGTGCTGTTTGTGTTGTTGGTGGTGAAAGGTCAGTTTTGCGGAAAATGGTTTAGACAAAATAGTTTGTAAACTTGTCCTGAACTATCCCTGCTAATAAGAACTATCGTCCACAGGGGAAGTGAAAAGTGAAAATATTTACCTTGTCTTTTACTGGGTTAGTGTGGTAGTAATTTGCTTTTCTACAGACAGCTATATGTCGATACTTCTGATGATCCTAAATTTGTTGTTGTAAACAAATTTAGGATATCTAAATATCTTCTTCTTCTTCACATATCAGCTCCCTTCTCAACAAAAAGGATCTTCTTCCCTATTTTTAAATTGTCTCTTCATTGCTGTCATGCTTGTTGTGCCTGATCTGACAATTAGCAGATGTCTTATTCCTTTCTTTCATGAAGTTTAGACTGTTATTAACAGACTGGATTGATAAGAATACAAATGAAACCCTATGCAGGTCACTTGTTGCAAACTTGTCAGCTGCAAACTGCTATAAATCTGAACACCTGAAGAGACCAGAAAATTGGGCCTTAGGTAAGCATTTTTTCTGTTTCTGTTTCTTTTTCCATTTACAGGATATACTCTCTTGTTATCTGATATCTGATCTGTTCTCTTGGCATTTGGCAGTTGAAAAGGCCAAGTACTACTATATTGCTGGATTCTTCCTCACTGTTTCCCAAGAGTCTATCCTACTTGTTGCTGAGCATGCTGCTGCAAAGAACAAGGTAAAACTTTTGACCTCATAGCTAATCTATTTGGTTTTTCTTTTTCCATTTCTGATCCTCATCCCTTTTCCTCATAAACCTATGATTTTTCCCTCTCTCTACATAGAAAAATTTCTATTTTCTCTCATTTATTTTTCTCTTTATTGGGACATAATTACCTTGGAGATCTTTCTTATCTGATTTATTTTCTCTCCGCTGAGCTCGCCATTTTTTAGTTTTAAAACTTTCCTTTATTTTGACTGATTTTCTTTATTCTCTAATCAATTTCATGTTTGTTTCAGGATGCGAGTTTAAAGTTTGCATTTTATTATCTGGTATCCTCAAATCTCTACAAAACCCGCCAGGTAAGAAATCTCACATGATATTTATTTTTCTCATGACTTTTTTTACTATGATTATTTTGTTCTTATAGAATTTTTGTGTGATTATCTCAGGTAAAAAAACACAAGGAAGGCCGCTGGAGGAGGAATTACAGTTAGTTTCTTGCCCTTTCATTTTTTTGGGTTATTTGGCTGTGATAATATGGTGTTTTTTTTTCTCATTTCTTCCTTCAACTATAATATGAGAAAATCCAATATTGTTCATACTGGTCTCAACTATTTTTTTGTTAGAAAAGTTATGGATCTAAAGTTTCGTTCTAACCATATTTATTTGTTGCCCCCATCCTCCTTTTTTGAGCGCATATTATATTAGAGATGAAAAATAATCATTATAGGGTTTTCTTTCGTATGGAATAAAATTTGATCATTTTTCCCAAGGACAGCTTTAAGGTATCCTGCAATTTGGGGCTCTCTTTCTGGAAAATTTTGTTTATTGCACGTCAATTAATTTCTTTGATCTCTTTTTTTTTCTCTTCTTTTGGTTGGCGTGATCTCTCCATACCTTTGCTACTGGTTTATTGGTCTCAGTTTTAATAGTTCTCATGGAGTTGTATTTATATTTACTTAGATTGTTTTTTTTTTTGCCGTTTCTTTGAGAGCCCTTATACAAACTTATGATTTGTGTGATTTGCTGGTTTACTTTCAGTTACTACATTTCTCATTGTCTTTGGGTAATTGTTTAATAACCATCTATTTTACTTATTTGTTTTCAGGTTCTCTTTGTGAACTCTTTACCCTTTCTTCCATATTTTTCTTGCATGATGAGGTGGAATAGTTACAAGCTATCAGAATATATCGCTTCAAGAGGTGGAAACATTCTCAATTATGATATTTTTGTACCTGAGCACAAGAATGTATAGAAGGCCTGTTGCTCTATCATGTACTTAATTGTATTTTAGCGCATTTCAATTCCAAGTAAATAAGCTCATTTTATGCTTTCTTTTTTGGAATATTTGGCTTATGTTTGAGGTACTATTTGGGTAGGTTTAGCTTGGAGTTATAGTCCCTTTTGTGATTTGTCCCTCATCCTTCAACTTGTGGATTATGTTTAGTTGATCTGGTGGATTATGTTTATTAGATTTAATGACTCATGGTTTCTTTTTTCATTAACAAGACCTTTGTTCTTCTGATCTTTTGCCTCTTAGAAAAGTATTTTGTATCACTGATATTCTTTTTATCTGATTTGTATTTGTATGTTATTGCCTTTGTAGGAAGAAAGATGGCAGCACCTACATTTCATTCTTTTCTGTTCTGTAAAGGTATATTCTTTTGAATTTTTTTAAAGTCTTTTTGGCTGATAAGAATGTTCTTTTGATTTCTGTTTCTCAAGTCTCAAATCTTTTGACTTTTTTTTGTCTTACCATTCTTTTTGTAGGAAGGAAGAGGAAATTATCACCGTCTGAAAAAAAAAGATAAACATTTTTTCAGTAAATAGACTTGTCAAAAAAGAACACTGGATATTCAAAATGCTATCTGAGTAGCAGTATGAGTTAGTAATCAAGGCGCTCATACCTAATGACCTCAATTTTTGTGATTTATCCCTTTTGAGAATTGGTGACTTCATTTTAGTGTTGTTCCCGCATTTTAGATTGTGGCCAATTCTCACATTTGAGAATTGGTTGTTTTATAATGATTATAGAAGAACCAGGTTTTAGATTTAGAAAGCCCTTTTTTCACTGACATAATTCTACTAAATCTGCTACGTTGTTTGGACATGTGGTAGAATTATCATATCACATTGTTTGAAAACTTTCTTGTGTTGTTATAAGAAGTACAAAAAGTTTTCAGAAAAAGTTGATTTATTCTTGTAAATATTGCCCTTTTTGACTTATCAGATATTAACAGAATTCTTATGTAATTCTACGTGTCCTTTTATATAGTAGATTGCATGCTTAAGGTGGTCCAAACCCTTTCATGTATTCACCTATGATGCAACAAAAATAACTTTAAAAGTATTTTTGGTCCTTAATTGTTGCTATTGTAAGGTTTAGGTCCTTTGTTTAGGTTTTAGATTTAGAAAGCCTTTTTTTAATAGCATAGTTCTACTACGTTGTTTGGAAATGTGGTAGAATTATCATATCACGTTGTTTGGAACTTTCTTATGTTGTTATAGGAAGTACGAAAAGATTTCAGAAAATGCTGATTTATTCTTGTAAATATTTCCTTTTTGACTTATCAGATATTATCAGATTTCTTATGTGATTCTGCGTATCCTTTTATGTAGTAGATTGCATTTTGATCCATTTGCTTAAGGTGGTCCGAACCCTTTCATGTATTCATCTATGATGCAACAAAAGTAACTTTAAAGGTTTTTTTGGCCCTTTCATGTTGAAGCGCACTCTACATTCCTGCTAAATATGACTGAATTGCAATGAAATTAAGCATGCAGCAAGAACATTACAAATACCTAACATCTATTCTTGGTGCTACTTTTTTTCTGCATAATCAGTAATTAATCAGTAATTAATTTCATATAAATGGCCTGTTGTGGCATGAAACTCAAGTACGCTAAGAATTCCACCTTTCTATTTGTCAGCTTGCTGGGGAAAGTTTGAACCCAATTCCTACAGTGATGAATATGAGCGCAATTGAAATTTTCAAAAGGAGTTCAATTTTATAAATATAAATCGTAAGGTTTTTTTTTTCTATTTCGATTCATTCTCCCAACAATAAACTTCAGTTAGGGAACGTTTCCATTGATTGCGAAGATAGATTGTTGCACAGAAGATCCTTTTTAAAAAATATGAACCCTCTTCATTCTCAGTCTACACATACTTCAGACCATGTTCACACTTCCATTCTCCTGTCTAGAGTTGTCGCGTAGTTGTTCCGATTTTCATGTTACATGCAAAGAATTGAATAAACAATATAGAAACAATTGAACAACATCAAAATTAATGCTTGTTGTAAATTTAAAAACAGCAAAGATAATCAATCCTCCACAGAATAATAGAAAAAATGAATAGTGTTTACTCATTTTTAATATTTTTAAATCTCCCATTTACTTCCCAACACTTCGTCCCATCTCTACATGAAGCAAAATCATACTGATGAGCTTCAATTTTAGTCACCTCAATTGTTTTCTTTTCGATCTTTTTCTCAACGCCATGTTAGATATAAACCCTTATTTACTCACGTTTTGTTACAACATTGCTTATTTAAAAACTTAATCATTTTATAACCAAATAACTTAAATGCAATGCATACGATTTATGATATCTTCACTTGAAAATCTGGGCAAGATGAAATTAACACCGCGCATCGCGCGGTGATCCCCTCCTAGTCTTTTAATATGTGCTGTATATGAAATATAAAAGTGATTTGAATAAAAAATTTGGTTGGAAAAAGATTTAGGAAATAATATAAAAAAGAAAACTAGTATAATCACTAAACCAATCCTATTTATTAATAGATGCAATGAAGTTCTTCGTTTTCCTTTCTATATAATATAGAAAGAGCAAAAAAAATACTAAAAGTGTGAATTTTCAACAAACAAATGTATTATTTGCATAAATCTATCATAAACTATCAATTTAAATATTTTTCATAGTAACAATATATCACATTTACAAAAATTGAATAAAGATTCATCTAAACCTAATAGTGTCAAAATATCCTTACACATAGACTTTATAAAAAAATATATGATCCGTATTATTTATGTCAATTATCCATGAAAAGGCTAAGACCCCCGTTGGAATGGCAATAAGAATTCCATAAAGTTCTAACTTTTGAAGGTCTCACCTCATATTTAAAAACTAGTGAATTACAATAAAGAATGATTAAGGTTTTTTATACATTGTTAGTGTACAATTTTTTATACTAATAGATTTAGATCATGCCACATAATATGAATTCAAATTTAAAATTTCAATCAAACACATGTGATATACATCCGTAGCTACTAGTGTAAAAAATTAGTATATTGTTAACGCATATAAAGTTAATCTACAAAAAATATCTATACCTACTAAGGTTAAAGGCACACATAATGTGTGTACAATCTAAAATAATTACTATTTTTTATGAATATATAAATTTTGCTTCTACGCAAATAAATTTTATAAAAAATTTTTCATTGACAAACTTCAACTCATGAATAAATTTTTCTTCATAAAATAATAGATAATGTAATAGTTACAATATTTAAGATAGTTATGAATGCTTATGTTAGCAAAGATGATTAGGGCAAAAAATAATTTTTATAAGAGTAAAATTAGAAGTTCAAAAAATGACGAAAAAATTGTTTACACCAAGTATCACTGCTCACCCTTTTGCATTATATATTGCATGAATTTCTTTATTGTTATGTATTTTATCTATACTATTATCTATATCAATACTATATATTTCTATACAATAAACAAAGCTAGAGTAGTGGCAATTGATTGTGAACATTTTTTTGTCATTTTTCAACTTTCAATTTTTCGTAATAAAAACTAATTTTTATTCTAATTTTCTAATTGCATTTTGTTAACACAACTACCAATAATCACCCTACTTATTGTAATTGCTAGATTACTATAGCCTTATTGAAGAAAAGATTAATAAATCAAATTCGTTTAATGAAATTTTTATATAAATTTTGATTTTTCATATTTTGACAAATTTAAGCCTAGGGAGAACTGCACCAATCGTCCCTCACATATCACAGATGTGAAAATTTAGTCCCTCGGAACAAAAGTAATTAGTTTTAGTCCCTAACAAATAAAAAATGATCATCTTTAGTCTTTTTTCACTTTTTCGAACAAATTTTGGCCGGAATTCACTGGGTCCACATGCAATGCCCAATTTTTAAAGGATAAAAGTGACAAATCACCGTTGATCATGGTTGACTCTACGTAATTTTAATTATTTAATGTGTCAAATTCATAAAGATGGTGGAATATAGGTTGCTCTAAAGCATCGTTAATCCAATAACATAGCCCTAGCATTAGCTTTGTTTGTGGAGACACACACATTGTTGATTTTGCATCGTCCTA